ATGAGCATGACTACGATGTTGGGATCCGTGTGATCCCTCAACTCTCGTAGCCACCTCTCGACATTTTCGAATGTGGAGTGTCGTGTAACATCGTACACAAGAAGTGCACCAACAGCCCCTCGGTAATAGGCACTTGTGATGGCACGGTACCTGTCAGTGTTAGAAGAGTTCAGATAACAATGATAAGAGAACCGAACATATACTTTCCACACATAGGAATGCCATGGATCTGGAATTAAAACAAATTTATCCGCAGCTCTCATTTTGAGTACCAAAGAAATATGTTTTAAACACAAGGCAATAGTATGATCATAATCTATCTGGCAACTTTATCGAACTCATCGACCCAAATTATAATTATTACCCATTGTTCCCAAACAATACAAGGGTTGAAATACAGGGCTAAATCAGGCATCTAATTACTATGATACTAAATCTATAGTGCAGGTATTAATCCCTTTCTTTCATTCCAAGGATGCGAGGATGGAGCTTTATATTCTGTATTTCAAATCAATGAATCACCTTTGAAAACATATGAGAACTTAGTAACCTTACATCATATTAGATCAGGGTCCAGGGAAATCAAACCATACCAAGGCCGTGACACAAGAAGCCACTAGCAGCTATACCGACATTATAGATACAAGACATCTCTACACAGGTTGGAAATAACTTGAAATGGAGCAATAGCGTCAATGCTTAATTACGGCCCTAAGCATCTCAGCCCTATCCCTGGATGTTCACATTAACCCTTCTGATAGTCTAGAAAGTAAAGTCTAAGGTTACTGTTTTCTCGTGCTTTAGGATATCTAAGGTTATTTTTCTTGTACTTCAATTTGACGCCTAATTAAACAAGTCAATGCCTTGTCACCATTTCAAAGCACATGGATGATATCCCAAGTGTATTTGGCCAGACAACGAATGACCGTGCCTCAAAAGAATCATATCATTTGTCAACCAAGATTCTGCTGCATCAGAGGTGGAGCAAGCTATATCGGCAATAGGGGAATTTCTCTGCCATTCTGGAGGCAGATGCAAATTTTAGATATACGATGGAAAAAAATATGGTATAGGGCTCTCTGCACAATGACTCAAACGGTCCCTCGAACAAACTATCAATTTACCACACGGTAGCTGTAAGATCACGGCAAGAACCTGAAATAGCAGACTAGAGTGATGTGAAACACTAAACTAACATATTCTACACACATGGAGAAACAAGATACTTGTAAGCAATCATCATCTCTTTGTGACTACTGATTACACATGACAAAAATAGGACAAACCGATGGTTTTGACTGGCATCATATGCAGGTCAGTTTCTCTTGGAGCCACTTGTTACAGAAGTCAATCCCTAAGAGGCGTCAACTAAATTACTATGGTGCAATCTAACCCCTAACATGAAGTCGAAACCAAATATCTTATATCTAGCAGGAAGCAAAAGTTTCAACACAAAGCATGAACATTTACTCGCAAGATCTACTAATCCGCACTTTCAAATCTATGATGGACCTATCAGCAACACAAGCCTATTAGGAAAAGAAACTAGATCTTAACAACAGATCACCATTTACTCGCATGCTGCTCATGGATCTAGATATGCAATACCATTTTTTCTCCTATATAGGCAAAAGAAAGATTTACTAAAAATCCCATTTTAGATCAAATCAAACTCTCCCAGAATCAAAGCAGCTTTCTTTTCCCAAGCAAACCAATAATTTCAAGAGGAAAGAAAATCCAATTCCCTTTTAATATTTTCTCACCTCTGTAAGCAAAATCAGAAGAAAAGTAAAAATACGCAGATCAGGAAACATGAAAGGAAAACAAGGATAAAAAGGCAAGACCTTTCTTGACCAGCAGTGTCCCAAATCTGAGCCTTGATGACCTTTCCATCAACGTTCAAGCTACGAGTAGCGAACTCAACGCCGATAGTGGACTTGGACTCGAGGCTAAACTAGTTCCTGATGAACCTGGAAAGTAGATTCGACTTTCCCACACCTGAATCACCGATCAGAACCACCTTGTAAAGGTAGTCATAGTCATCCTCAGCTCTGTAACCCGCCATCCTCTCACAACCACAGCTGTTGCACTCCTCAAACGCCTTTACCCTCTTTTTTTCGCGTCAAGTAATAATAAACGAGTGTGTGAAAGGGCAATGGCCCGTTTCTGCAACTATATTAAAGCTTTTTCTTTTAAAGATAAAAAAAATCGATTTTTAAAAAAAAATATTTTGGAAATGTAAAAGGCAGATGGAATGCTAGGTTGGACTCCAGAAATTGTGGGGAATTGTCCTTTGGAGATTTTCACTATTTTTTTTACAGTGTCTTTTTGCTGTTAGAATATGAGGGTTTACAACCAATGTCATATAGTGGGATGCTGTGTTACATTACATTATTTGTTGTTTTTGGGTTGCTTTGACAAAGGTTACTTCAGTTTGAATGTGTTAGGACAAAGAATATAAATAGTCTTCCGATTATAAAGTATATTTTATTAAATTTTTCGATTATTAAAAGTTATAAAATTGTCAAATAAGATATTATTTTGTTCAATTTATTACTTTTAAAATTTACAAAATAATCTCATGACTATTCATATATTTTAAATTCATCATTTTTCATTAAAAATTAAACGGTCGTCTGTGCTGAATGTTAATATGCTAGCTGAAATATGACAGAATCATATTTTAATGTTGTCTATTAGCACCATCATTATTTTTAAACACCGAGTCGATGACATAATATTTCAAGTATTAATTCGATATTATAATATAAATAAAAAATTGATCCACCAAATAAAACAATATTGGGATTAGATTTTATACTTCAAGAACCTCAAGTGCGTCTTCTTTTTCATAAAAAGGTAAAACAGATAAGGTTATCAAGCCCCAAAAAAATCTATATTAGAGGCCAAACAAAAGCCCCTAAAACCTCACTCGCAATGTAGGCTTTTATTGACACCATGTCGTTGCAGAGTTCAAACTGGATGTCAAAATCACCATGGAATCGATTGAAAAGTCGACAGAGGAGCCATTAGAAACCAAGGTTCTGGTGCATTGATTCCAGAGATCCCTCAATAACCTGATCCACAAAAGTTCAAGCTGCACATGGCATCATACCAAACAAGAGACTTAGTTAATTTTTGTTGGTCTTGAACGTGACAAATAAGAAAATATAGAGGGGTTTTAAAATTTCTATTGGAAATGGATCAATAATCAAATTCTAGTTTTATTAAAATCATGACAACTTTATTGTATTAGAATATATGTAAAATTTATTTATTATATATTTTAATTTTAAACTCTTTAAATCAAACAATTATTTATTATTTTAATATCTCACTTTAGATTCAATTAAGTAATGATTTCAAACTTTATTGAATTGGTTCTCAAATTATTTTTTTCAAGAAAATATTAGTACCTAAATAAATAATTGTTCACAATCTACTTCCCGTTCATAATTTATTGAAATAGTTCATAATTTAACATGCATAGCGTTCATAAGTTACAATGAGCCAGCGGGAAACCATTTAAACTTATATGATGTTAGCTAAAATAATGCGTAACTAAATTCTAACTTTTTATCTATTATTTAAACTATTCATCCTACACAAATGACCTACGATCATATTTCATTTTTATAAATCATACAATATCTTTGAGATGATATATTTTACTCTTTAATCGATCTATGATTTTGTCTATAAATGTAACTAGACCATATATGAGTTACATACTAAATATATATAAGTAATAAAGTGTGAAAGCTAAACTGAAAGGAAATTATGGACTTCAAGGACTAAGTCGAATTCAATGAAAAAGATTGGAGTCTAAAAGGTGAAGCCAAAAGAGATGGAAGGTTCCAGGTTTAATTTATACATTATTATTCGGAAGACATGAATAGACGTAAAAATAATGATTATGGGCGTTAGGTTAGAGGACCCAAATCCATGACCGCAAGTTTAATAGACAACATCCTACATCGTCTCTGTCGTTGAACTCTTCTGCAATGCTATTCACGTAGCTCTGATTAATATCGGTAAGTAATCTTTCACTTTAGTCTTCTTCGGGTTTCAAGTTTTAGGTTGTTCAACCCACGTAGTTGTCGATTTTTAACTCACTTTTATTGGATTTCAAGATCTAAATTTTTGTTCTGTTGTAAGCTCCGACAAAATAAAGATTCAATTGTTTATTCAATTCATTGTTTAATTTAGAATGAGACAAAGGATAAATATATGATTTTGTGGTACTCGTCAGAATCACCACATGATTTCCAATTTTGCAATATCAAATCCTTTTGCTAATAATGCGTCACTAACACACATGCATTGTAATGATGTTGTTGCAGCAATCTTTAGCTCGAATTCAGAATTGAGCTTCGACTTAAATAATTACAGCAGTCTTATATGATCTGTGTTTCACTAGAAATGTGTCGAATTCGGAGTCGATTACAGTCAAGGAAGGATTAACACCCTTGTACTGTCCTTTCGGTACCAATTAATTTGTCGATTATCTTAATTACTAAAAATTAAAATTAAAATTGAAATTTAAAAACCCGATTCAAATAGGTTACCTTTGATCGATTGAAATTACTACAGAAAAAAAGTCAAAATATTAGATTCAAACATACCCGATTTCAACAAAATGCATCAAACTTGTTATTCAAGTTCTTAATTAAGGTTAAAAGAGATATAATTAATCACCAAATTATTTCCTTAAAGTCTAATTATGAATAAGGATAATTGATGAGAGTGTCTAGGTGTCAAAACTAAGGTCAATTAAAATTAATTAATAATTAATGTGAGTTTAGTAACAGTAATTATCTAAATTTACAAAACAATTAATCAATTAACAAAACGTTCCAAAAATTATTATCTAATTACTAATAATTTATTAATCAAACATGAAAATTTATCACGCTAATTATTATCCATTAAAACAGTCAACACCCTAATTAACCAAATTATAACCAACCAAAACAGTACAATTTTAGGGCAATTAATGGTCACATATTGCAGGCAAGCAATCTAGGAAATATAACAGCACCTAATCATAGAGTCAAGGCAAAATTAATCCAATTAACATTAGTATATGTTTAATTAAATCAATTAATGCCAAAGCCAAAATATGAAAATTAAGGTATGCTAAATGTGCAAAGGGAAAGCTGCCACCTGTGACACTGCTTGTGATAAAGATCGAAGATTGAATTGCCCCTTTTGCAAATCCAAATCCAATCACATCTGGAGTTAACACAATCTGAATTTCACCAGCAAAGAGATTCTTTCGATGCGACTCCAAATCCGACATCACTTTGACGGCTTTGATATTCCTTTGCTGATATTTGGCGTACGAATACCACACCCCGCCTGCCGTGTTTATGACCAGTCCGGTTAAGTTCGAACCGTGAACTTAAACACCTCCCAGCAAGACAAAGCCAAGTGTCGTAGATCCAACACCTTTGAGTACTCCGACAACGGTTGTGGTTAGAGCATAGTTAACTATGGTACACAAAAAGGAGAAAGAATTGCTCTTTGCAAGTAACAATGCCAAAGAATTCGGGAACTCTCCGGTCGCTATGATGAGAAATAGCAAAAATGGAAGAGAAAGAAAACTGTTATAGAACATTGTCTCTATTGAAGAAAGCCCTTCTTCTGCACCAGACTTCTCCACCAACACGAGGTACATGGTCTGGAAAAAACACTCTGGAAAAAACACAGAAGTTAGGGCCATGGTGTATCCGGGTAAGTCGAAAGAAAAATCTCCAAAATGGCCTCTGTAGTAGATCGATGAACTTAGATGATATGGTTGTGAGCATTGCTACGGATAAATGGAAACCGCTTCAGAGTTCGCAGGATTTGCATTCAATGGTTCATTCGGGGAATTCTGCCTTCTGGTTAGCAGAGAGATTCCTCCTGGCACCTTAGGTTGAGTAGGAAATATAAACTCTAAAATCCTTGACGAGATGAAGATGACACCTTTGAGCAAAAGAGTTCAGAATAAGAAGAAGAAGACTTGGTTCCTTTGCCTTGCTTCATTTCTCTCAGCAAATTGGACTACTCTTCTCAATCTCTAAACAAAACTTGCAAGTTACAATGAACTCCTCCAAATCGGCCCCCCTTCAAGTTTTCTCCTCCACGATGAAACTGAGCTTCGAATAAGAACGAGAAATGGAGAATCAGATGAGAGAGGAAGTCAAAACGGGGAGCATTTGCAGATTCAAATCGAAGGCATTAAAAAGAAAATCAAAGATTGTTGAGATCTGCGACCATGCTGCAAGAGAAGATAAAACACAAAATGGCCGCCCTCCCCTTTCAAAAGTTTGGTTGAATTTATTTAGGATCAAAGAAAGTTGTTGGGAGGATGCACTAGCCGGATTTTTAGGGGTTTAGTGGAGTAGGTAGTTTGAGTGGTGGGGTAGTGGAATGACGTAGATAGGGGACCTGAAAAAAATTAAATAATAATAATAATAAATAAATAAATATTTTTTTTAAACTCGGATAAAAACGGATGTATACATATGTGAATTGGTTTTAAACGCCTATCTCGTTTTAGAGTGTTAAAGGTGAAACTAAAAATTACTTTTGATTCTTTTGATAACTGCTCGGTTTCTCATATAGTTTAATTTGTAATTATTAAATGTGGGACTGTTCTCTGTAAATTGGTAGGACCGGTTTGGCCGAATCATATCAGGTTTGGTTTGATCGAATCAGATTGAACTACTTTGATCGAATCTCACCCATTGATTTGATCCGTTGACTCGACCCGTTAACCGATCCGTTGACTATTGACTTTTTCAAAGATCTCTATCTTGACATTTTTCGACGTTCTGAATCTGTTTATGTAGTTCGTTTTGTCAAATTCTAACTCGAAAGTCATGCTTTTGCATATTTTAGTATTTTACAATGTAGTGATATCAAATAAATTCTGAAATTTATGAACTTAATCTCTGAAATGGTATTATGAAGGTGGTCACATGTCTCCGTATCACTCACCAGTAAGTTTGAATCATCTTTGTTCAGCTCAGCTCGACTCCGCGCGTTCGATGCAAGATATGCGTTCCAATTCCGCATGACCTTGTACTACTGACCGATGGAAGCGTAAGGCTTAATCAGCATCAAATAACTACTATAGGTGTGTCCTTTTGACCTGTTAGGTACTTTTAATATTGTTTGTTATTATATTGTGTGATATATGTACATATATTCGTATTTTGGTTACGTGTATTTGAATTATGACTGACTCTAACTACTGTTGCATTGTTTTAAATATGTACATTTATGCATTTTTATTTCTGCATGGAATCATTTACGAAGAGCATAATCATCGTTCTGATTCTGCATGGGCTCAGCCTCGTTCTAACATCTTCATGAGATATATTCTCCGTTCTGACATCTGCAAGGGATAAATTCTCCATTCTGATTTCTGTTTCTGGTCAGGATCCTCTTCGGAGGGAAAGTCCATATCCTGTTTATCCACGGTGAAAGCTATGGTTACATATTATTGATGTGACACTCTGATGGTTAAATCTTAATGTTACTATTTATGCATTATTTATGTTGTTATATATTTAATGATATATGTTTATTGTATAGGACACACTAAGATTTATAGCTAACTCTGTTTTTGTTTTTCCTTTTTAGATTATTTAGTTACATGACCAGTTTGGCTATCAGATATGTGGTCTCAATTGTATACAATATGAGTTTAGAACTTATTTTCAACCTCTTTAAATGTGGTATGATTTTATTGCTGATTTCATAATTAGTAAATGTTTTGTTAAAAGGATTTATTAAACTGATTTCGCTCGTAAACCATTTTTGTGATCAGCAAGGCTATCATGTTTTAGTCGTAGTTTCTAGATTGGTCGAAGGGGTTACATTATTGTTTCTAGTATTGTCGTTGCCGTTGTGAATCTTAGACGAGAGAAAGCCTCGTTCGTTCATGAAAGTTTCCCTCTTTCGCTCTCCATCGTAAAACAACATTGGTAAGAGACTCATTAGCCTCTAAACTACAATTCTAGAAATTTATGTTATTTTATGATGACCGATCGTTGTTGTATGCGCCGCACGCGTTACTCCTACTCACGAACTTCGTTCGTCACTCGAAAACAAGTATGTATATGATCTATACTCTGACTTGTAAATGTCTCAGCCCAAATCTATGATTAAACCCAATAACAAGCTAAAGCTTATTAGGCTCAACCTGTATGAGTTCAAACTAGTCCAAGCCCAAACCTGGTTAGTCTGGATTAAATTGGATCAAACTAAACTAGTCTAGTTAAGTTGAGCCGAATTAAATCAAGTCAATTTGTTGATTATGTATTGACAGTTAATCATTAATTTTGATTATTGATATTTGACTTTGACTTTGATCGATGTTAACTTTCTTCTTTTGATCTTGACTTTGACATATGGATTTTATATTATTTTACTGATAAGTAAAACATTTCACAATAAATTTATGTAATTATGTATACATTGTCTAAGATTTGTTAGGATAAATATGTGACTACTAAGATATGATCGTACATAGGTTAGGTCTACAAAGTTAAATGTATGGTATCAAAGTTTTTTTTTTAAATACTAGTACTATAGATGAGTCTTAATCATTATATTTATACTTAAAGATATTTTCCGGTATAATCAAAATTATTGTCAGTAAATAGAGGAATATTTTATTAATACTATGTAAGCTTATTTTGGAAGTTTAAATGGATACGATGTCTTGGTGCCAACTCTGCTATGAGATTTAATCTTTCAGTTTAGACCTTATAAATTTATCAGATAAGTGTTAGTTGAGGTCTTAGATTATTCATGATCGTGGTGAACAATTCGACCTTTCACTCATACGAACGATTTCTTGGTAGCCTCAGATCATCTTTTACCTTGAGCAGCCCTGCCGCTCTACGAATGAATCTTCGTTCTACTCAAGATTACTCATGATCGTTTATTGACAATTAATTTTGATTTTGATTCACATTAACTTTCTTCTTTTCACTTTGACCTTGATATATGGATATTATATAATAAAAATATTTCACAATAAATTTCTGTAATCAAATGATGTATACATTTTCAAAAACTTTTTGAGATAAATATGTGATTACCGAGATCTGACCGTGACGTCTAGATTAGGTCTACGAGGTTAATGTATGATATCATAGTTTTTAGTTTTAAATATTTAGACTATGGACGTGTCCTAAACATTATATTTATTCTCAAAGATATTTTTTTGATATATCAAAATTATTGTCAGCGGAGAGAAGAATGCTTTATTAAATACTCTGTCATCTTATTTTAGAAATTTAAATGGATACAATATCCTGGTTCCAGTTCTGATATTAGATTTAAACTTTTAGTTTAGTGTCTTATAGAATTATCAGAATAGTGTTAATTGATGTCGTAGATTACTCATGATCGTGGTTGAATGATTCGACCTTTCTCTCATACGAATGATTTCTTGGTAGCCTCGGATCATCCTTTACCTCGACTAGACCCCCTCTCACTCTAGGAGTGAGTCTTCTTCTCAAGATGATCCTATTTCATCAGATAAAGACGATCCATTATTAAAACCGTGTGTGCTGATATCACCATGATGTCAAAAATATAATTATTTTTCAAAAGTTTTAAAGAACAATCAGAGCTTCTAGTAGTATGCCACTATTACAAAACTGAGACTCACTATCTATTGAGATAATGCCGATTTTGAAGAAAGAAGCTCAAAGATGGTGGCAATCAATTATGTGGTGTGCACGTTAGTATTTGATATAGAAAATCAAATAAAAACTTATGTTTAATTGTTACTCAAATACAATGTTTATTTCACTGAAAATATGCTCAAAGAATAGTAGTAGACTCAGCTTAATGAGAGACGGTCAATAAAATTGTTGAAAATTTTAATACTTTGTAAATATTTTTTTAATACTTTTTAAATTTTAATAATTTCTTAAGTTTTGTTTATATTAAAGATTAAATTAAAATTTAAAATTAATTATACCTTCAGACTCAGCTAAAAAAATTAATTAAATCACTTTATCACATCGTCATTCACGTGTAAATTATTATGTCGTTATAATAGATTATCACATAAACTTTAAATTATCACATCATCATTATAATAGTCAACATTGATCAAAGGATGAAACTAATAAAATTAAATGAATTAAAAAATAAATTTGACATAATTAAAGATAGTAGAATAAAAATTTTGATTTATTATAATGTAAAATTACCCTTTACCAAAAAAGTTAAAATGCTAAAAGTAGTCGTATAGTGATGATTTGTATAAAGAAATAAGGATAAATTATGCATTTAGTATATAAATCATCAGTTTTAATCCGTTTTAGTACTTAAACTTTCAGTTTTTTCAAAAGGCTTAATACAAAAATAAGTGTCTGAATTATGCCTCGAAAACGTTTTAGTGCCTGAAGGATTTTTCGTTAAAAATTGGTGCCTAACGTTTTCTCAATTATACTTTTAGGTGCCCACCGACTATTTTTTTAATTTTTTAATAATAAAAATATTATTTTTAATTAAAAAAGAAAAAATAATTTATTTACAAAAAACATTTTTACTGAAATTATAAAAAAAACCCTATAACTAAAATCTTTCATTTCAACTCCGTTACCAACCGTCGTCGGCCATCTCCAGCCACCATTGCATTGTCGAACGATCACCCAGCTCTTGCCACCCACCCATAGATCAATTGTCATCCTTACCACGACCAAAAAT